CCTACAAGGACTCGACTTTTTGGTCAATTTCTAATCGTTGCAGATGCGCCACGAGCCATCATGTTTCCTCACCATAACGGGGTTGGCAATCCAAGTCGGGAAGACGGCTTCTCGTAGTATCCCCGCCTTGGTCAGCTTAGCAACTTCGGTGTTGATTGGCCAGTTCCTGTCTCCCCCTTGAACCCTTTTTTCTGTTTGGTTTCTTTAGTACCCGACTTGATCATAAGCTTGTGCTCTATGACCTTCCTGTCTACCCCTACCATGTCTGTAGGGGTCCAAGTGAAGACATGCTTGTATTTTTTCAAGAGGCCGATCAGCGACTGTCTGGTGGTCGATGGAAGGTTATTGTCTACGCTGATCGGTTGGTCCGGGTACTCCCTATTGATAATTTCCTTTCCACTTTCTGGCTCTACTCGTGACTTCTTGCTTTCCTGTACGATCTCTTTCGGCTGCATGATTTCGGAACATCGTAACTCCCTTGGTGGCGTTGCTAGGACTGTCCCCGATCCCTCCGTTGTGCTGAAATTTACTATTCCATGCATTGTTGATGCGACAGCCCCAAATTTGAGTAGGGACGTTCGTCTAAGCATGATGTTATGCTCTGCAGGATGCCTTATCACAACAAAGTCTATTAGGGTTGTCTTCTTCTTTACTTTGTCATGGTTAATCAGCATGAAAGGAAAATAAATCGTGCCTAGGGGCCATAGGTTGTGTCCTGTGAAACCTGCTAGTCTCCCCGTTGCAGGCTTGAGGCTCTCCTTCCATCTGTCGGGCAGGAGACGGAAACAATGCTCGTAGATGATATCCGTTAAGCTGCCTGAATCGATGTATACTGTCACACCCCCAAACCAGAACGACGGAAACGTTTGGGGGCAGAGGACGTCATGTAAGTATCACAACACATGCATTATAGTAATCAAAGTACAAACAACCATTGCATTAATAAGTATAAGTTTTACATAAGTGTTTAAACATTACATATTCAAACATCAAAGTAGATACAGTAGAAGACAAGAGTCGCAGTATGGTACTAGGCAGTCTTCTCAAAAGCTTCAGGAGTGTACATGTCTACTGGATTTCCTGAGAATACAAGTTATTTTGAAAGAGAGATCAGCATTTAAGCTGGTGAGTTCATAAGTATTTTAGTTATATGAAGTATACTCTAAGTTCTTGGAAAAGTTAACTAGTTCCTCCAGAAAATCCTATATTTTCTGACGTGACAATATGATAACCATAATAGTTCCCTCCACAATTACTTAGTTTATACTAGTCATATATAACCTAATATCGAACTGACAGTTAAATTTGTGAATCTGACCTAAGCCCACAACCAAACAATGAACAAGAAGTAAGGCGGAAATCACACATTCCACTGTTAGTCGGATATTAATTATGTATAACTCTGGTGTCTAAACTAAGGAATTATAAAGTTAACCATTTAAGGTCCTTTATGTTATACTAGTTTTAAGAGAACGAATAATGACGTTCCAGAAAATTTTATATTTTCTGCTTTACATCTGATAAGTAGTTTTAATTCCATAAAACCGTTCTATTTAAGTGTTACTGTACTTATAATAAAGTTTAACATAATTTTAACTATCTATAAAATTATAAGAAGGATATCTTCCTTCTTGTTGGTGAAAAGTGGTTTTAAATCCCCATAAAACCGTTCTGACAAGTAGTTTTAATCCTATAAAACCGTTCTGATAAGTAGTTTTAAATCCCTATAAAACCGTTCTGATAAGTAGTTTTAAATCCCCATAAAACCGTTCTGACAAGTAGTTTTGATTATGGAAAGTGAATACTACAGTAGTATTTCTTAAAAAGAATAAACTATTGGTGAATAACTACCATAATATTAACCTGGTTAATTAGGGTTTAAAATGTGATAAAGTTGTAACCATGTTGGACTAGAATGAACATGACGACCTACTGGTGTCGAAACTGAATATGTGACATTTATCACCCCATGGCTGGTCTGCCTAACTGTAGCTAGCAGTCGGGATGTGGGATTGTCGGTCTCGTATAGATCTATACACACAATGCCTGCTCTCCCTCTAGGAGACTCTGGTTACAAGAATGTAACATAACAAGTATTGCTATGTCCTGAATACGTACCATCACATTTTACTTTAAGTAAAGATCGAAATATATCCTTTTCTTGATAAAGTAGTTTAGACCTCATATACTTATCTGGGAAAATAGATTTCTCGTTTGTTTCATAAATTATACCTATTATAATTTATATGTTCTACCTGATTAGCATGATCTCTCCTGAATGTATCCCTTTGCTCAGCATGATACAAAGGTAATGATACCGACTGAAGTAACCTTTTATACTACAATATGTATAATGTATATAATTAAGAAGAAAACGACCCTCGGACAAATAACCTCACCTTAAACCACATCCAAACAAGGAAAAGGAGATAAGGCAACTTATTAGTCCTAAGGCCTTTAAGTCTTATTTATATACTTATATATATATATGAACATGATTTTGACAATTATAATATGAAATAGTTTATAAGACCTTTTTCAAAGAGTTTAACAATATTAAAAGAGTTTTAACAGTATTTCTAAAAGAGTTTACATGACTTTAAAGATTTAGTATGGCTTTAAGTCATTTTGGAAGTATTTGGTAATCCATAAAAGCATAAGGAAATCCTTTGTGTAATTGATATCACATACAATTATTAACATAATTTAACAATTGTGTTCAACTTGTATTCCCCCCCCCTTAAAAGCATTAAAAATCATTTGAAAAGGTAGATTAAAGGGGTATGAACTCACCTTATGTGGGTGATTCAATTGAAGGTTCGCGTAAGGATGAGAAGTTCCATGAATGAATTCCCGAGACACAAACAAGTCCTAAATGACATATAATGGCATATATAAGCATGTAATTAATGTTTAACACAACTAACATGCAAGGAAACAACCTTAGGGACTAGGAAACACTTGAAATGAAGTGTATAAATCACATGTGATTGATCAAAGGGAGTTTACGGCCAAAGGAAGGTCTGTTCACGGCCACACTTGAGTTTACGGCCAAGGTGTTTACGACCATATGAGTTTACGGCCATAGGAGGATGAGTTTATGGCCATGCAAGGGTTTACGGCCGTAAACCCTTGACGTTCTTGCCAAAATGGTTGTTTCTTGTATGTTAATCAAGAGTTTCTAATGAGTATCAAGATGATAGGAGAATTACTCACCCTTAGGATGACTTTAGGATGTTTACGGCCCAAGAACAAGTGTGTGTTCTTGGTGAAAGATGATGATCTTGAAGATCTAGACCAAAAGTGATGAATTCATGGATGAAATCAAAGGGTTCCACAAGATCAAGAAGAATATCAAGAAATAACGGAATAATAACTTACACTTTTGAAGATTAAGGAGGATATCCTTGATGATACTTGAGAGAGAATGGAAGTTCTTGACTTGAAATTGTGAGAAATGATGAAAAATGAAGGAATATCATTCTTATGGAAGGAGTTCACCGCCAGGAGGGTGTTTACGGCCGTGAATGGAGTTTACGGCCGTAAACCCCATGTGGTTGGCTTTCTGGTTTGGGTGCAGCCTTCTGATCTCGAGCTACTACTTCTTAACACTCAATCCTTAAGTGTGTTAGGCTTAGAGACTCTCAAACTGGCCCTAAACACAGTAAATAGATAGCAGAAACGAATCTGACTTTTGATTGAATTGAATGGTTGTACAAGATAGAAAATAACGGGGTGTTACATATACCCGGTGGATCGTCACATCTTTGATGGACCCCTGGATTATGAGTGGGTCATCGCCTCGCCAGCCCATCGGTTGAGGATCCTTCATTGAAAACGTCAATCCTTGCATGGATCTGGTGAGATTTTCCATATCGCCATATTCCTCCTGCCTTCCCCGCTTGGAGCGTATCATCAGGATTTCGTGAGGTTGGTCGCGCTCTCTGGCTGTGTCTTTGGCGTTCTCAGCATCAAACTTGGCGTGAAGGCTTCGTGCCACCTCGATGAGGTTCCCCTTCAGTTGTTTTTCTTCCATTTCCCTTTTTAACACTGATCAGTTGACAGTGTCGTGCGTTTTGCTCTTGTGGTACTCACAGTATCGTCCCTTTCCTCCCTTCACAGGTTGCTTGTCAGAAACTACATAGACATCTGGCCGCCTGCCTCGCCTCTCGTCTCTTTGGAATGGCCTAAAGCGTCCCTGTGAGCGCTTACCTCGCCCAAAGTGCCTGCCCCCGCCTTGGGTCTCGGGGTGAGACGGTGGTGACTGTGGCGTTTTATGGTCGAGGCGGTCATGGCATTCATGTATTCTTGTTTCGTTGCCTCCCCCTCCTCCTGCCTCAGGTAGCGCTCTACTTTCTCTTTTAGCTCTTCCCGTGTCTGCGGCTTTTTTCCCATGAGCTTTTATGACAGCGGTCCTGGTAGGAGGCCCCATGTGAAGGAGTCTTCTATTAAGCCTTCGTCGTGGCATGGGACGTCTAGTGTGGCGTTAGTGAACATGGTGAAGTATTCTCGCACTGTCTCTCCTTCCTTCTGTTTGCAGCCGATAATTGAGTGCGAATCTCCCTTGTATTTACGTAGTTGCATGAAATTCGTCAAGAATAAGTATTTTAACTACCCGAAGTTATGGATGATCCCAGGTCGCAGCGTATTGAACCACGTTCCTGCGTTGCCATCTAGGGTTGTTGGGAATTACGTACACCAGAATCGCTCGTCCGACTTGAGCGAGGTCATCGTCCAGTCGTATGTGTCGATGTGGCTATCGGGATCTGTAGTTCCATTGTAGGTCTTGAGATGTGGTAGCTTTGCTGTGTTTGGGATTTCGTAATCTAAGAGCTCCTTGGCGAATGGAGATGTTACGATGCGCGACAGGCAGTTTTGATTTGGGATAGGAAAGGCACCCTGTGGGTTATACTGTTGGGCAGTGATGTAAGACTGCATGAGCATGTTGTTATATGTTGGAGAGTGGCCAGGGTTTGGCCCATAGAACGCTTGTTGTGGGAATGGGAAGGTTAGCGTTTGGGTGGGTAATAGGGGTGAGTTTTGTGCAAGAGGATTATTGGGCACAGGTTGCTGGTAATGTGGGATTGTGGTGGAGAAAGGTATGTTTGTTGCAAACGGATGTGTTTGGAAAGCCATTGTTTGGTTTCGCACCATCTGGTTCAGCGGTAGTGTCTGGAAAACCACCGGTTGTTCGCCTTCCATCTGGTTTAGCGGTGGTGTCTGGAAAACCACGGGTTGTTCGTCTGCCATCTGGTTTAGTGGTGGTGTCTGGAAAACCACTGACTGTCCGCCTGCCATCTGGTTTAGCGGTGGCGGTTGTGAGAAAGTCGGTGTGGCGCTGACGTCTTCCATCGTTGGCGGTGTTGTACTGCTTGATATCACCGTTAGTTGGGGTGTTTGCATCGGAGTGCTTTGTGGTGACACGGTGACGGAAGAAGTTTGTCCTCCGACGGCCGATCGTTGTGGTTCGGTTGTTGGAGCGGTGGTTACCGTCAAGCCGCCTTTGTGTGACGTTTCACCGGCGATTACTGTGAGAATCGGGGTGGTGGTTTGTTCCAACGCCATCATAGGTCTGATGGGGCTGGTTGGTGTTCCGCTGGTTCCCTCGGTGTCGTCGGACGTCATTCTTTCACCGATGAGGAATGTGCTTTTGGCTTGTTTTTCGTCACACTACGGATGGCGCCAAATGAAGGAGGGGGTTGTGTAGCTTCTAGAAAAAAAACATGTTTTCTACGGTTCTTTAAAACAAGATCCATGTCCGGGTATGTGCTGAGTGAAACCTTTCTAGGTGTTGTTATCATTGAGAAACTACCAGCGACATGTTTAGATATCAAGATTTATTTGAAGCACAAATGAAAAGAAATGATTGTTCATGAACTCATTGTAACACTCAATATCGAGAAGGATAACTAGTTAACACAAAAGAATGGGTACGTCCCTAATTTTGCAAATGCTAACTTGGTGGAACATGGTCAATAATTGAAAAAAAAAAAAAAAAAAAAAAAAAGCTTTGTGAATAAAAGAGGTCAGAAGAAAAGGAAAAGTATCGATTTAGGACCAAAAGGAGTGCAACACTGATGCAAATTAATCAGGTGCACCATCTTACTTCTTACTAGACTCAAACTATTGCTTCATATTTCAAACTGATTTGACAAATTTGGTTGTATGCAGATCACTATTATTTATTTTAAAAAAAATACAACACTATACTATTAACGTAATGTAGTGTTTTCCAAATAAATTGAAAATTCATTTTCGACGATTCTTCATATTGTGGAATAAAACGTGATCTTATAAACAAAACTTAGCATTTAAGAGTGTTTTCCAAAGGTTGTTTGGGCTACAAAGGTTTTTTGGGCTACAAAGTGTTAGCGACTAACTTAACAAAAAAAAATTATGGAAAAAATGGACTCCAAGCCTGCATAGAATATACATTTTGGACCTATTTTTGTATTCTGAAGATGTTATTCGCATTCAAGACATGTATGGTAGATAAACATGTAAAACTAACATTAAAAAGTGGCTAGTTTAATCAAAATGTAAAGGGGAAGATAGAGGTAGTAGGCATTAGTAGAACAATACTTCTCACGTAGGGCTAAATGATAATGTTTACTTTTTTATCAATCACAATGATAAATATCGACAAAAAAATTTCATACTATATTACTATATATTAATGAAATCTCTAGATAACCCATCCACTCGTAATTAACTAATGACAACATACAAGTATCTCTTTAATGTGGTAAATATATTTTTATTCTGATATATAATTATAAAACATTTTTACATCTATAAAACTTTGAACTAAACTTTTCTCACATACACAACAAAAAAAATGTAAAACATTGCTTATACAAGCTACAAGTGCATATCTACGATAAAGATATCGATTTATATTGTTGAACGGTTCCTTTTATAGCCTGTTCAACCGGTAATCTTTCCAAACTTGATGCACCATAAAATCCATGAACTCCATTCGTATTTTTCAATACAAATTCCGCTTCCAATGGACCGGATATCGGACCTATAAAACCACATTATTAAAATTATTCCCAAAATAAAATATTTTACCAATAAAAATAAAATATTGTTCTTCTTTATACAATATTTCAACACCCATTATGTCTGTATTGAACTTTGGACTTATGTCTATTGAACTTTGGACTGAGATTCTGATTGATGTTGATGAGACAAAAGTTGCAACTTTTTTTCTCACCCAAAAAGGCGGGACAGATACTCACTCTCAAAAGACGTGAATAACCTCCGCCTCGTCCTTATCATAAAAGTAACCCTAGAAAGTCTGTCATGTCCTGTATAGTCATGTCCAATATAACAAAAGTAGATATCTGCTAAAAACTAGTCCTAGAAAGTTTGTCATGTCCTATCCAGTGCAATGTAACAAAAGTTTGTCATGTCCTGTCAAGTCCAGTCCAAATGTCCAATGTAACAAAAATTTGTCATGTCTTGTCCAGTCCAACAAAAGTAGATATCTGCTAAAAACTAGCCCTAGAAAGTCTGTCCTGTCCAGTCCAATATAACAAAAGTCTGTCCTGTCCTGTCCAGTCCAACTTGAAACATAAAACGTGTGTTGCATGGTTAGTACGGTACCTCCATGGCATAGTACAATAGCATCGGGATTGATTTTATGAGCGGCGTCTGCAATAGCTTGTACGCGAATTACGCTTTCGTCCAATGTGACAGCTGTCTTTGCTCCGATTGAACCGGAAGTCGTGAGCCCCATATGTGCTACGATGATGTCAGCGCCAGCTTTTGTCATTTCAATCGCCTCGTTTTCATTAAAAGCATATGGTGTTGTTAATAACCCCATTTTATGAGCTTTGTTTATCATCTCCACCTCCAACCTAAAAAACAAAGAAAAATTCAAGTTCAATAGGGATAATAAATACAAGAAATAGCAACATACTTTCATCTAATTTTGTATTATATAACGATATGACAATATAACAACCTATTTTTATTTATTTCTCTAATCATATGATGTTGTAATGTAAAGAAATGAAAGTAGGATTTGTGATAAATAGGTGAATCAAAGTATGTTGCTATTTTTTGTATTTTTTTTTTAAAATTTTGATAGAAAAAGAAGATCAACCTGTATCCCATTCCGGTTTCTTCAAGATTTTGTCTGAAATTACCATCAAAGAGTCCAACAGTTGGAAAGTTTTGGACTCCACAGAATCCAATTGATTCCAATTGTTTAAGAAAGTGATCCATTCTACGGAATGGATCGGTCCCACATACTCCAGCAAGAACAGCTACTTCTTTCACCACCTACAGATTTCAATTCCGATTCCGATTCCAATTCCAATTCCGATTCCGATTCCGATTCCGATTCCAATGTCAAGATGCAAAAGAGAAAAATAAATTTAAAAGTTCCTATTACATGATTGAATAAAAAAGAGTGTGTTTGGTTGAATGGAATGAAATGATGCGGGAATGGAATGAGTTAAGGTATCACAAGATTCATTCCATTCCTACATCGGAATACATGATTCCATTCCTGCGTGTTAAAAAGTTTACTCACCGGCAATACTTCATTAGCCATATCAACCACAATAGCATTCGCATCACCAAACGGTAACAACCCCGCCAATGAACCCCTGCCCGCCATCCGAAACCGCCCGGAACTGTACACCACAATCAGATCCACACCGCCCGCCTCTTCAAATTTTGCAGAAATTCCCGTCCCTGCCCCTGCCCCAATTATTGGTTTTCCTGCCCTTATTTCTTCTCTCAACTTCTCCAACACTTCCCTAGTCCTTTTCAATGTTTCTATTACACAACACAACAATTTAATCAACAAGAGAATAACGATTTATTAGTATTACATTTAATTTATTTATTTAATAAAATATCCAACCTGGCTTTGCGTTAGGGAAGTCGGTTAAGTTGTAAGGAATGGTTTTGTAACTCGTGGAGGGTATTTTTGGGAATTCTTGAAGGGGTTGTTGATCATGTTCAATAACTTTTTGTTTTTGAGTAGAAACATTAGGCTTCTTATGTATCTCCAAAAATGAGTCAACTAAAGCTTTTGCAAACTCGGTGTCATTGATGTGATATTGGTAGACTTTCACCTGTGCATTAAGGGTAAAATGGTCATTTTGGACTTTATCCAGACTAGACAACATCACCCATTCACTCATGTCCATGTTAAGTCCATTAAGTAGAAGAATAAATAGTAACTTTGCTTTTAGAGTTTCATAAATGGGAACATAGTTTTGATTAATTACGAAACTAACCTTCCTATCTTCTGTAGGCTCAATAAGTCTCTTTAATTCTTCTATAAGAGCACCAGTAGCATTTGTATCATAGAAAGGCTTTCCAGGGGCATCTAAAGCAGATATTCCTATTTCTGGTAAGCAAACACGTATTTTTGATGATGATTTGTTCAATTTTCGTGCAATAAAAGCAGCAAATTTCTTGTTTTCCTCCACTGTGGTTCGCATCAATGACACCTGTACACAATGAGGGTATTTTTGTCATATTTAAATTTCTATTCCACCTAATGAATATACTTTATATCTGTGTTTCATTTTGATTTAGTAATGCAGAAGTAACGACTTAATAAAGAAAAGAGAAAAGTCAAGAAAACGAGACTTTTCCATTGACAATAACTCCTGACTATTTACAAAAATGCCACTGTGATATATAGATACCTGTTCATTGTGTTCATATATTTTCCTCTGTTGAAAATTCATAGGTATGGTGTTCTTAGCACCAAAGTTCACCATATCTAAAGCTCCTACACTCAAAACAAAAGGAATTTTCTTTTCGATTATTGCATCAAATCTTGATTCTTCACAAGCCATAACACCTCCAACTATGTGATCTGCAACTTCTGTTGTTGTAATGTCCAAAACACCCTTGCAAAAGTAAGAATTTTATAAGCCCCTTAGTAGTTCCAATCTAGAATTTAAAAATGTAATATAAAGTTTTCAAGAATCACCTGTATAAATCCTTCTCTAACTAAATCCTCCATAGCTCTCCCTCCAACTCCAGTTGCATGAAAAACCAGAGTCTCATAACCTTCCTTATTCAATCTTTCTTTCACAGCATTTACACATGGAGTTGTAACCCCAAACATGGTTAGACCAAGGGTAAATTTGTCATTACCAGAAGAGGATTCTTTCAAACTCATGAGTCGACCAGAAACCATCCCCGAAAAAGCAGCACCAGCATTAGATAAGATGACTCGACTCACATTATTAATCCCACAGATATCCACAACTGATGGAAACAAAATCAAATCTGATGTCCCGATATACCCTTCAGTTTGACCACTTGCTACAGTTGATATAATGATTTTGGGTAATCCAAGTGGAAGTGATCGGAAAGCTGATGATATCATTGATGTGCCGCCACTGCCGCCAAGCCCCACCACGCCGGAAAGAGAACTGCGGTGGTGGGATTTCGTAAGGTAATGAGTTAGTGCTTTGTTCATGATTACTAGGGCTTCGGATCTGGATTCTGGAATTTGGGTTTCTGGTTGATTTTCGGATTCGGAGTAGCTAGAGAGAAGTTCATTTCTGGACACAAACTTGAAATCCTTGAAGGTGTTTATCTCTTTTGATCCAACTGACACATCTATAACTACGACTTGTACCTGTACATGTCGACAATTATTCCAAAATTAGATATTTTAATGAAGCATTAAGCAAATTCGATTAGGATATGCATTGGTTACCTGAAATTGCAGAGGAATAATCAATTGAAGAATGTACCTTCGAGGAAGAAGTAGAGGAAAAGTTCGTGAGATTGGATCGGACGGATTCGGAGAGAAATAGCAGTTCGTCAAGCTTCGTATCAGCTGTTCCAATGCAGAAAACTTGAAGAAAATCCTTGAGATTTCCCATGATTTTTCACTACTTGAAGTAAAATAGAACTACAACAGTTTTATAAATCGAGGGAATTGGAATTTAACCAGCGATTGTTGGTGGGATTTTAAGAATCATATCAGATGACTAGATGAGTAGAGATGTTGCAGCAGGGTTGCTGAGGGATTCGATGAAAGCTGACATTTCACCATAAATGTTATCGAGCCAAGACCACATGGAGGTCATGTGTTCACGGAGTCGCCGACTTCCGTGTAACGTCTAATTTTGATCCAAAGAATTATTTGGTTAGTATTCATTTACTCAATGATAATATTTTAAATCGAAATTTAAGACAAAATTACAAATTTAGCCTAATACATTAATTACTTTGTGGAAAATAGTAAAAAAAAACTCAAATTGTATTTTTAGCCATTAAAATCGCAGATGGGTATAAGTCATCTACGATTTCGCCATGCCATCCACGAACGTACAAGTGGCTAAAGCACAGACGTTCTTTAGCCACTTGTACCTTCGCAGGTGGTTTATTTTTATTTTTATTTTTATTTTCCGCTGTATATATACCCATTTTCCAGCCTAAAATCGCAGATGGACTATGTCCATCTGCGATTTTATGATTTTTTTGTTTTTGTTTTTTTTTCTTATTTTTTTGTATTTTGACTACGAAATTGATAGGGTTTGACTACGAAATAACCTTATTTATGGTTCTGTTTTAAGATCTTACCATATTTTCGGGATTGTTGAAGAAATCGTCCATTATAACTCTAAGGAAATCGTAGGGAGAGAGTGTTTCTCTAAAAAAGATAGTGAAAATGAAGGAAAAAAAACGTTTTATACTAAAACTCTACGAAATCACAGATGGAAAACACCAAATCACAGATGGACTGTTCCATCTGCGAACGTACAAGTGCCTAAAGCACATCTGTGCTTTAGGCACTTGTACGTTCGCAGATGGAAATGCGAAATCGTAGATGGAAATGCGAAATCGCAGATGGACTTAATCCATCTGCGATTTTAAGGGCTAATTTTGTAATTTGGGTTTTTTTTGCTATTTTCCACAAAGTAATTAGTGTATTTGGTTAAATTTGTAATTTTCTCAAATTTTAAATCGAACCCTTAAGGGTCATGGCCCCTAATTCTTTTGCAGGATATGTTGTGAACGTACTTATAGATTTCGGTAGGAAATATGACTCCTACCTTCTTCTGACTGAGTTTTCCTAAAACAATAATTATCATTCCCGTATCGGGGCGTCGTCATTTGAGCTTCTTTGTGGGAGGAAGTGTCGTATCCAGTCTGTTGGGGGGAGGACGGTCACAGGGTCATGAGAAAGACCGAGGTAGTCCTTTAGACGACAAAACTTATTCAGCAGATCAGACAAAGGTTGTATACATCTCAGAGCCGGCAGAAGAGTTATGCTGATAGACGTCGCTCCGAGTTGGAGTTCTAGGTCGGCGACATGGTTTTACTGAACGTATCACCCATGAAGGGTGTAATACGCTTCAGGAATAGGGGCAAATTGGCCCCCCGTTATATTGATATGTTTCGAATAATCGCCAGGGTAGGCAGGGTGACTTATCGATTGGATATGTCTAAGGAGCTTCGCCAGATTCACAGCACCTTTCATGTTTCTCAGCTACAGAAGTGTGTAGCTGATGATTTAGCAGTGGTCCCTTTGGATGATATCCAGGTTGATTATCGCCTGAACTATGTTGAGAGGTCGGTGACGATTTCGATAGGAAAACGAAGGCCATGCGCAACAAGGTGGTCCCATTGGTCAAAGTTTAGTGGCAACATCGAAAGAGTTCCGAATGGACTTGGGAACCCGAAGCAGAGATGCAAGAGCACGACCCTGAGATATTCGCAGCATCGGACTTCAAGAACGAAGTCTGATTCAAGTGGGGGAGAATTGTAACGCCCGAAAGTCAGGTAATTTCATTTTCAACCTGAAAGTATAATGATGATGCAAGTTAGGTCCTTACATCATGCGTAATTGGGGCGTACGCATGACGTAGCTCGTTTAAAGAAGTCGCACATTCATGTGAGTATGATGGGCGTACTCATGAGTACGCGAGGCGTACGTAACAAATGAGCAAACCCTAATTTTAGGGTTTGAGCCCTATTTAAACATCCTTATCCCCTAAAAATCTTTTCCATCATCAACCTCCATCTCCCAAATCATCCCTTGCTAACCCTGATCCATTGAGTGAGTCCTTTTGAGCTTGAGAATGTGTTTTTGTGACCTTGAAGGAAGAAGAATGTGGTGGGTTCATCTTGGAAGCTTCAAGCAAGTTTACATCTAGAACTTTCACCTTGCAAGTAACCTCCAGAAGGTATAAAGCATGGAACTTGATGAGTTATTTGCTAATATCTTGCTAGTCTAAAGTTTGTATCCATTTTTGGTCCCATATTTTGGTCTAGTGGAGTATGAGCTACTCCAGGTGTAACGTCCCAAAAATAATAACATAAAATTTTTGTTTTTAAATAAGTAAATCGGTAATACATATCATTTCCATAAAACCATGGTAATCAAGATTTAGCAAAACATCATCGAATCAGAGTAAATCACAGAATGCAGAAACATGTGGTGTGTGCCCTGCAACCATCCCGAGCTCTTCCATTTGAAACCGAAGTACCTGAAACATAAACTGAAAACCCTAAGCACAAAGCTTAGTGAGTTCCCCAAGATACCACATACCACACATACATAAATCACATACTGGGCCCCCGCCCTCCTTCGGGTCTCGCTTGGTCTCAAGTCCCACTCAGCCTCGGGCCCCGCCCGACATCGAGCTCCGCTCGAATTACAGATCTGTCAATTACCAGCCCTCTCCTGACATTGGGCCCCGCCCGATACACACATAATCATATAATCCTATAATCATACAAACATATTACCTTACTACCACATGCAATAATCACAAAGACTACAACATACCATACGATCATCGAGCCCCGCTCGGCATCATGCCTCGCCCGGTAAGCATAACACTGATACTTATAACCAGCATACACTATACTCTTCAGGCCCCGCTTGGCATTGGGCCTTGCTCGGTAAGCATACCATCATATAACACGCGCAAGAGTCGAACAGACATCTATCATCCTAACATATAACCCATGGGCCGGCATTGGTGGCTACGACCCACTAAACCCAGTAAGGAGACTCACCTTGCACTGCCGAAACACATACAATCCCTAGCTGCTGATTGACAGATCCTCGAACTGTCAACATTAAAACAACACCCAATTAACAATTAGGTCTCAAACCATGCCCATAAATCCATTATTAGGGTAAATGACCAATTTGCCCCTAATCTAGTTTGGACCAAGACTTAGGCCCAAACCTAATAATCCAAAAGGCCCAAATACAAAAAACCACTCAAGGCCCAATTCATGGTCCAATTTTCCAATTTGGACCCTAACCCATTGAAGACCTTTCCATCATAATTAACAGCCCAAAACTTGATGGTCCAACATGGCCCAAGACAACTAAGCCCAACAGAAGACCCACACCGAAGCCCAACATGCCAAACCCTTCCTGACTAAGTACGCAGGGCATACTCAGTTGTAAGCTAATCGTACATGCAGTTTGGCTTATACACTGCACGTATAGACTTGTACGCCCAACATACTCCTCTATTAAGCCCATTTTTGGCATTAAGCACTTAATGCTCAAGATTAGGAGTCCAAACCATAGATCTACTTCTTAAAGAACGTCTAGACCCATAAAGTCATTGACTTGATGATTTTGCATGCCTCAAATGAACCCAACATCAACTTAAAGCATTAAAATTTCACCCAATGGACACCATGTAACATCCCAAAATTTAAGACCAAAAATTTTGTTTTAATTAAGTTATTATAAAACCAATAGTATAAGAAAACATCCATAATAACATATCATGTCAAAACCAGTATGTCAATAATCAAAGCATGTCATCATAAAACAATATCAGAGTATAATACCAAAGATCTCATGTGCGGGAAACATAGTGTGATGCGCTGCGATCGAGCCGACTCCTTTCCTTTGAAAACGAAGTACCTGAAACCAAAATTTTAAACCGTAAGCACGAAGCTTAGTGAGTTCCCCCATCATATATACCATACACATAACATACTGCCAGACAATTTTGGGGTGTCTGACCTACCCATGTCAAGCCATTCTGGGGTGCTCCAGCTCGACCTACTCTGCCAGGCAATTCTGGGGTGCCCTACCTACCCGTGTCAAGCAATTTTGGGGTGCCCGACTTACCCATGTCAAGCAATTCTGGGGTGCTCGACCTACCCTCCGGTTTATCTCAACCGGCTACGGGGACTATTTCACCCCTACCACTACCACATAATAACATAACATAAACATACTGCTAGGCATGCATGGGTACTGACTACCCCTTTGGTATATTCCAACTGTATCCGGGGACTATTTCACCCGTACTACTACTAACACATATAACAGAGCATCCTAGCACATAAAGCATATCAGATAGTGGCAAATCAGACAATTATCACAAAGACAATCATCTCATACATAATCACCTACTGGTGGGCCGGCATTGGTGCCTTAGACCCATCTCTACTGGAAGGTAACCCACCTCACACTGCTGAAGTCCCGCAAACAAAACCCTAGCTGTTGGATGACAGATTCCCAACTGTCCATCATCAAAATAACACCCAATCAGTAATTGGGTTCCAACATATATCCATAAGTCCATGGTTGGGGTAAAAGATTACTTTACCCCCATCTTAGCTTGATTCAAACTCAAGGCCCAATCCAAAGGCCCAAAAGTCCAACATATGGCCCAATTTTCCAAATTGGGCCCAAACCTCTACATGGTCTTCCTTAAGGCCCAACCATTTAGTCCAGTCCAAACATTTGGCATTTCTAATGGCCCAATATCTCATAATCATAAAGGCCCGGTTATGGCCATCTATGGCCCAATTTTCCAAATTGGCCCCAAACCCCTTACATGGGCCTTACCCTAAAGCCCATCAAATTATTCTAGTCCATATGCTTGTTCTTGGATGGCCCATTATTAGCCCAATAGAAAGGCCAACTTAAGGCCCAAGTAAGATTAGGGTTTCACATAAAATGACAATTAGGGTTACGTGTTTCTCACTTAAACCATTAAGGACTTAATCCATTAAGTCCATCAATCTATTGGGTCAATTGTGTGGTGTGGTCGGCTTAATATAAAATCTCAATTCGGTTATCTAAAATTGCGGGTCCCGACAATCCAAAACCCATATATCCAAAATTAGGGTTTTCTAA